AGTTTAAGTGGGCGTTACACAGGTCGCGTTCTTGCATGATGCATCTCTTGGACGTTGCGTCGCGTCGCGTTTCGCTGAGCGTTTTTAAACACTGCGCGTCAAGTAAAAAGAACATTTCAAATTTGTTTCCACTTGAAACATTTCAGTAGCATGTTTCGTGTTAGTATGTAAACATCTCATACTAAAGTCCCCCACCGGGACTCTTTCAGTTCCCCTTTGGTTTACGTACAACTTTAAACCCGCCTCAGAAAACCACCAGCAGCTTCACTTCCACTTTACTGAACTAAACTCTGTCTGTCTCTGTCTGTGAGCGTCTGAAGAGCTCTGACATCCCGCATCATCCAGCATGTCTCTCCCGCAACAGCTGCGCGATGAAAGGTGAGCGAAATCATGTCTTTGTAATTATTTACTCATGAATATTCATGAAATGAATGAGTCGCTTTCAGGGCGTAGTGTGTGTGTACTATTTAGTTTAACCTGTAGCTATACTTTAACTATGCTGTGGTATAGTTTACTATAATATAATGTTCAGTAGTACAGTACATGGTTGTAGGTTGTAGTATACTATGAACATCTCGGCTTATTCTGGGTCCGAATAAAACATCAGATCATGCACAGACTACTTAGTCTAGTGTAGTTCACTCAACATATAGACTAGTCCACCATGTGTCATACTATACTATGTACAGTAGGCCTACTAACCACATTAAAAAACAACAATTAATGAATCTGTAACTTTGAGTAGTTGAGCGTTTTCAATATTTAATACAAGATTGTGACAATGCTGATTATTCAGAAAATTATTTAAATGTATCACATAAATTAAAAAGAAAAAGTAAATTGTGGGTCAGAAACTTTATTTTAAAACTTTGATATAACCACATAGAAAAGTATTCTCATCTCAGAAAGTATAATTTAGACATTTGATTTCTGATTATTATTATTATTGTTAATAATAAAAAATATATATATACCTATATATTATGTGAACACACATACACACAAAATTTGCTTTTAATGGTGGAACAGATTACTTTCTTGTAAATTAATTACTGTAACATTGATTTAAAAACAACAGCAACACATATTTTAAGGTCATATTTTCTGTGCTAATCAAAATGTTTGTAACATTTGTTCACCGGACAGTGATTTCGACCAGCTTCCAGACAACATCCCGGTCACTGCAACCATTGCTGATATTGAGGAGAAGAAAGGTTTCATTGTTTACTATGTGAGTTTCCCCAGACCTGGTCCCCTGTCGTTGACCTTTCCTCTAGTCTGCCTGTCTTCTATAATTTGGCTGCCTTATAGTCTGCCTACTACCTGTGGTTTATGTTTAACCAACAGCCACACAATACTAGATGTTTGAAATGCCAGTCTTACATTTTTTAAAAATTGTTTGTCTGTGTACACGCCCAGATTGGCGTCTTTTGCCTTTGTGTCACTCTCAATGTTTTTGAATTTCTTACACTACTACATACCTTAGTCTTTGGAATGTTTGTTCTTTATCACCTTCTTACAGAGGTTCGTGATTGAGGTGAAGACCAAAGGCAACAGTAAATACCTGATCTACAGAAGGTATCGTCAGTTCTTCACTCTGCACCAGAGTTTGGAGCTTAAATACTCAGCTGAAGCCCAGCCGGGATACTACACCTGCCAACTACCTACTCTGCCAGGTCTGTGACTAAGCCGCTGTTGCACAGTCTCAACTAAAACAACAGCAGTATAGAGCTCTGGGGAAATCTAGGTTCAGTAGCACAGGCCTCATACACACTGCAGCTAAATATGGTTGTCATGTCACTACTGTAAGCGCTTAATCCGATTTGGAGCAACAGCCACATAAGTACAACTAAATTCAACTCCCCGAAAGCTCAGGTAGTGACAACTGAAGTTTAATTAAATTTGTGCAGTATGGGAACTGAACTGAACAACAAGTTGGTTAGATATGGTTATGGGTCACCATACTTGGCCACACGTCACTTCACTTCACTAGATGCATTGTGTAAATTGGCATAGTCCATGAAAGTTCTTGCTTAAGGTTCACCGCACAACCAGAGCTAGTGGAATTGGTTTCCACAACCTTCAACAAGGCCATGAACTTATTACAGGATCAGTCCACCTTAAGCAGGGTTGTCCAATCCTGCTCCTGGAGGGCCACTCTTCTACAATCAGCTCCAACCCACCTGCCTGGAAGTTTATAGCAATTCTGAAGATCTTGAATATCTGGTTCAGGTGTGTTTGCTTAGGGTTGGTGCTAAACTCTGCAGAAATGTGGCCCTCTAGGATCAGGATTGGACACTCCTGCCTTTGAACAACCTGAGGTCAAGTGCCTCGCATAAGAGTGCAATGATCATGACTTGGATTGTCACCAAACTGACAGCAGCCAAAAGTCATCTCTCTGGCAATCTGATCCAAGTCCCAAAACTCGACATTCAACACTGAATAACTTTCGACAAGGATGACAAAGCACAGGTACTGTCAAGATGAAAGCAGAAGAAACAAGTACGACCAGATAGATAAGATTTGTGAGGCCATAACTTCAACCCGTCAACTAATGATCACCTGGATGAGGATGATTCCTCAGGAATTTAGGTGTGTGGAGCTCAGAAAAATCAAAGAAGATGTTCAAAAAACAATAATAGGCTAGATCAGGGGTGCCATATCCTGCTCCTGGAGGGCCACTGTCCTGCAGAGTTCAGCTTCAAGCCCAATTAAACACACCTGAATCATGGTAAACAAGGTCACCAGGATTACTAGAATCTTCCAGGCTGGTAAGTTGGGACAAGCTGGAGCTGAACTCTGCAGGACGTTGTCCTTCCAGGGCCAGGATTGGACACTCCAGGGCTAGACGTAGGAACCAACTGTAAGTTTGTAGAAAGGATCTCAAAACACCAGATCATGGATCACACCCTGTGTGGGAGCCCTTAGACTTAATCACTACACCATCTTCTTCTGTCCCACACCCCATTGTAATCAGTTGCCATGTATGTTAATTCTCTCCAATGCTGTTCCTCCAGTGTCAAAGTTCACTCCTTAGGAGGACTTTGTCCTTTGAGTACTTAAAGTGTTTCCCACAGAGTTACTGATTAACTAGCACTTCTATGATTGGGAGGAAGAACAGCAGAGACAGATGAAGAGGATAATATTGCATTGTCAGGAAAATGAGATGAGTAGCATCCTTTCGACTGACACCATTGTCTGTCCCTGCTTGCCCTCATCTACTTCCTCTTCATCTATTCACACACAAATATTTGCATGCACAAGGAAATACAGTTTTTGAATTTGTTTGCAAGGTCCCAAATGTCTGAGACTGCCTGAGAATTGACAGAACCCAACATGAACACCAGTCAAATTTTAAATGCAATGTGAACCAGTACTTGCTTCAGCACCAACTCTATAGAAGAAGTAATAACGTCATCTACGTCATCGTAGTAGTGTTGTCTACTCTTGTTTCATTCTCTAGTCTCTAATGTCTTTAACCTCTTCTCTGATCCCTTTTTAATCAGCCTTATGTCTCAGCTCTCTTGCTGTCTCTTTCTCTTTGTCTCGTTCTTTTTCCCTGTCTGTCCCCTTCTTCGTCTTTGACCAAACGAGTATGTGTATAATTGAATTCAGCAGGAAGGAGAGGTCGTTCTTTGGCACCCTACCCACTGTTTCATTAAGGTCACCTAAAGACTGCAATCCGACGGGCTTCGGTGTCTCTCCACGACTTTCCACCAAAGCTTCTTCAAAGCTTCCTGCTAGCTAAACCGTAACCCAGTGGAGCCAAGTTAAATCAAGCCCAATTATATTACAAATTAGCCTTAGATGTTACTGTCTTCATGACAATTGATTGCTCGAGCCAATGAGTAATATGCATTGATTATGCAATGGAAAGATAATTGGCAAGTTTATATGAGAACATTAGCAATGTCTGCTCTGATGCGCTATAAAGGGACGTCTCCTTGCTTTGCTCGTACTATTCAGATCTCACTAATGCTTATTTAATGCAGATTTATAATAAAGAAGCTTATTAGAAAAGACAGAAAGTGAAGAGAATTAGAAGATTTCTTTAAGATTAAAGGGAATTATTGCATAGCTATTAAAATTATGTTAAAATTGGATTCAAACCAACTTATATGAATGGATCCATCTTCGTTTTTTTTCTTCTTCTCCCATTCGGATCCCATAAAGTGCCTTGCGTTAATGACCGACCTCTCATCGTTGTTCACTGTGCACATTATTAACATTTCCATTGGGTGAAATCAAAAATACAAATGAGAAAGTAATTTAGTGTAATATTTGGGCACACATTACGCTAAGCGCTAATTAGCGTTAGCAGTAAAGAGATTCAGAGGCACCCTTCAGCTAGCTTTTGATTGTTTAGTTTACAAACTAATTTGTTTTGAGACATAAATACTTATATCTGCCACTTGTTTAATTTGCCACAGGTAAGGTGTTTATGGGAAACAAAAAGGAGATCGCAGAGAGCAGAATCCCAGAGCTCAACAATTACATGAAGGTGAGTCAGTCTTGAAATTTTGTAAAAGTTTTCAGTTTTATCACAGTCATGTTGTATTGGTAGGAGCTGTGTTTGGTAATTGTTGCACTCATGTGTTTTGGGGGTTGTAATCTTTGCAGTACGAACAGCACTGTGAAAACGGTTCCTCTTTTTGTTACTTCTCTCTTTTTTTTTTTTTAAACCTAAGTCACTGTCTGTCAGTTTTGATTTAATTTAAGGGTGATTCTTCAACTATGGGAACTTTTGAGCCTGTGTACTTTAAGAAAATAAACTTTTTACATTCTTACTGATTTAATTTGTAGATATAAAGCACATATACATGCAAATGGAGAATTACGCCATTTGTTCTTTTTTCTAAAAGTCATGGAAATTTCCGCCACAGTGTAGTTTTCATCACATCTCAAATGGCATTTTCTGTTCAATAGCATTCAATACTATATTTAAATATGACATTTATCTGAAAAAAAAACCCCATTTGATTTCATTTCCAGCGAAAAACATCCTACTAAACAAGTCTAAACTCTCTCTCTGTTCTTTAGAGGTTGCTTTGTCTGCCTACCTGGGTACTCTTGGACGATCTGATACGGATGTTTTTCTACCAGACCGAGTTGGACAGCCAACAGGTCCCCCGGGCCCTGCGCCGCCTGCGGCCCCCCACACGCAAAGTGTAGGAGCCTACCCACAATCCCTCATTTCTCCTTCCAGCACTTCACTGCATACTTTTACAGGATCCTGCTGTTCTGCTAACTTTCTGCTGCCATTATTCAATAGAAAACTTTTGTGGCTTTGTCAGTCACGTCTTTCCATAAGGAAGACAAACCACAAAGGAGATGCATTTAATTTCTTGTTTAATGTGATTAAATAGATAGCAAATGGAGAATTTAGCTGCTTCTGTGTCTATAAGAGCTCAATAATGTCTCAAAGTAAGTGGTTTGACAAGGTCCAAATCAAATGTCTTGAATGGTTCTCATCAAATTATTCTAAGACCAATTTATCTGAGCTAAGGAGTTTTTGGAGAAACAGACAAAATTGATATTTAAATGAACCATAACCTAAGTCTCTGGAGCTACACAAGAGGATCTTCTGAGCAATAAAATTCTCGTTTAGGTTTGTCAGCCTTTCACTTTGACTGTCTTGTACTCGAGAGAAAATGTTGTAGAAACCATTTCTTCTTCTGTTATTCATCTGAAGTTTCTTTTCTCTCTCTCTCTTACTAGAAAAACCGTAAAGCCCAAAGCGGACCTTCTCTCCGCACCCAGAGCAGAGGTATACCAGCGTTTCCTTGGAAACACTTTCATTAACAGCCTACACTCTACATACTACACACATACTTACATGCTCAAGCATGTAGGCACCACACAAAGCTCTGACATTTGGTCAGGAGGTTATTACACAACGTACACCTCAAACATTTGTTTCAAAATTTTGTCAGAGGATTATGACAAAACTGTGGAGGCTGAGACTCTTCCACAAGACTCTCAGTGTCACTTACAGTTTGCTCCATTTATAGAGAATTCTGAGTATGTTTCTATAATTCGCTCTGATTTATGTATAAAATATTGCTAATTTTGACCAAATTTGATGTGACCAAACCCATAACTCTTAAGTATTAAACTTCAGCATGTAGCTTGTCTCACACATTTTGTGTTACGGACAGGAATGATATCTCAAATTATGCAGCTTGTTGAGCTTGTTGAGAAGTGTGCTGTTACTTTTCATAATATACTCTATTTTGGCTAAAAAATCATAGGCTTAGATTGAAAGAGGCACCTAAGTCATATTTAGAGACTTGAGGGTGAGATTTTTTGACTTGGGCTAGTGAGCAACCACCCACAACACCGTAGCAACTACTCTGAATACCCTAGCAACCACACAGCAGTCCACTCAAAACACCCCAGCATCCACACAGCAATTCCTGGCACCCACCCAAAACACCCCGGCAATCACGGCAATGAGTTTCGTGTCGGCAAACACCACACATTTTCTTGTGAAAATGTCAAAATCTAGTTTGCTGATTCTATGCCATTGTAGTTCTGTGGTTTTGATTACTCATGCTGTAATAGATTTACAGTGGCGACACTAAATCTGTAACACTTCTCTTATACAGACACAGAAAGAGACGTGTGTGTCTTTCTGTTTTCTAGGTCAAATCTTTGCCCCATTAATGGTTCCTGCCCTGTTCTACTTCTTTTGCTAATTTCTTTATTCATCATCATCTTTTTTTTCCTCAGCTGCTTTTTTAAGGGATAGTTCACCAAGAATCTGTGATCATTTATTCATCCTCATGTCATTACAAATCTTTCTTTCTTCCATGGAACACAAAAGAAGATATTTTTCATAAAATACAGATCACTCTTTTCCAATAAATGGAGTTTTTCAAGCTTGTCATCCATACGACCTTTGCATTATATTTCCGAATCACTGAATCAGTGAGTTGAACTTGTGAACTAGATCAGTTTGATTCATGAATAAATTGTTCATACTGGGTTTGTGAACCAACTGAACTTACTGAACCAAAAGATCTGACTCAAAATAGCTATTTGTGCATGAATTCGTATGAACAATTTGTTCACGAATCAGACTGATCTAGTTTACAAGTTAAATTCACTGATTACTCATAATGAACTTGTCGAATGGACTATTATGATACTGTTAACGTGATTTTGCTTTCTTTTTGACGCTCGAAAGCCTCAATCTCCATCCACTGTAATTGCATAGAAAAAGAGCAACCAGGATATTCTTCACAAATTTCCCTTTTGTGACTTATGGAAGTAAATGTCATAAGGGTTTGGAACGGCATGAGGGTTGAATAAATTACTACTTTTTGGTTAATTTTTGGGTGCTTTAATCACTGTCTTCCACCTACTTCACCGTCACGTTCCCTCTGCCTCTCTCTCTTATCTTTCTTCTTGTCTGAATATATTCTCTGCTCTTTTTTTCCACTCTTCACTTTATCCTTCCATCCCTCGTTTAATCTCTCCCACTCTTCCCTCTAAGTTCACCCATCAGTCTTGCTTCCTCCTTTTGCTTTTTCACACTGTCCTTTAATGCATCCCTCCCTCTTTGTCCTCTGGAGTACTTGCACTCCTGCAAGGAAGTTGCATCCATTTTTTTGTTTGTGTCTCCCAATGCTGTTAGACCGGATCACCATTCTATCATTCCAATCACATAAGGTGCGACCACAAAGAAATGACATAAAACGTGATTTATAGCCCACGCCCATCTGTAGGTAAGAATATGTGTGTGTGAGTCAAAGTTTAATGGCTAAACAATTTTGAATAAAATAAAATCATGTCTATACCTGCACTCAGCAAGGTGGCGCTGTTGTAAATAAACCTGATGTTGAGCGTACGGTTGATTCAACACAATCTCATGGCAATTCAAAACAATTCAAATTTGTTTGAATTTGTATAATATAATTTGTACATTTTCGTACATTCTGCTTAATTCTCCACTGATGGTTAAGTTTAGGGGTAGACCTTCATAATTAGTTTTTCTTTTCTTTTTTTCAAAAATTTTTATGTTTTTGAGCTAGTCTCACTGTACGAATTCATATAAAATTGCCACCTCGTCAAATAGTTTTCTCATGAGATTTGGGTTGATTCCCATTTCCCATTTTCTCTTTGTCTTCCATTATTTGGACAAATATTTAATCCCCAGTTTTTTAAAATGCCATTGGTTGAGCCAAAAGGTCATATTCTGTCACGCTTTCGACCTTGACACACTTCCGACACACACGTCCCTATTTTATTATCTCCTCAAAACATTTCTCCCATGATGTCCCATCCTGATCGATGTAGCAGGTGTGCTGATAAATCTCAGACGGTGCTGGACATTTGTCTTCATATTCTCATGCGAGAGCACATGATTCAAAGCATGCTGCTCTCCACATGGAGATCACAGCGGACGAGACTTCTGCCTTATTCTGCTGTAGACGTGTGGCCGGGAGAGAAAGGGAGAAAGTGACAGATTACACTTCTCATAACACCAGATAGAACAACAAAAGATCTGGAAAGCAAGACCGGGAAAGATAGATATGTGGGTGGTGTTGCTTAGCGGTTAAATATTTGGTAAAGGCTGCAGGTTCGAGCTTTAAAAGCAGTGATTCATGAGCTGTCACTATTGTAGCCTTAAGCAAGACACTTTTATTCAGGAGAAATCACCAAAAAATTCAGATTCTGTCATCATTTTTACACACTTATGTCATTTCAATCCTGTTTGACTTACTTTCTTCCTTTGAGAACAAAAGGAGATGTTGAGTAGGATGTTCATGCTGCTCTTTTCCACAAAGGGAAGCATACAGGGAGCACAGGCTATCAAAAACATAATGGTCCATTTGACGTGTGTGCTATATTACAGATCTTCTGGCAGCAGAAATCTGAAGCCCCTTTCACACAGAGCGTTGATCCTGGAAAATTGCCTTAACTGCCTTCTGTGTGAATGCAAACACATCCCAAATCCTGGGACACATTATTAGTGTATTTTCTGGAATCTCTGTGTGAAAGGGACTTGATTGTGACATGGCAAGTTTGAATATGTGGAAGCAAAAGTTAAATTTGAGAGCTGGACTTTCAGTGAAAAGTGTAAAATGTTGACACAAAATCATCATATGGCTTCAGAAGACATGGAATATAGTGCACAAGTAATTTTGACTACTGTTGTGGTGCTTCTTTGTCATTTTTGGAGTTGGTCCCCATCTGCTTTCATTTATGGAAAAGAGCAGCGTGAACATTCTTCAAAATTTCTTATTTTGTGTGCCACAGATTCTGAAGAAAGAAAGCCAAAGGGGTTTGGAACGACATGAGGGTCAGTCAATTAATCCAGGTTTCTCAAATGAGACTGATCCTGTAGTAAAAAAAGGAAGTCAGTAAAAAGTGTCATGTAGATATCACAGAATATGTTGCTTCATTTGTTATGTGATGGCTGTTTCCCGGGACACAAGACAGGGTGCTTGATTGAAAATCAAAGTCTTTTCTTTCCTCTGTATCACTGTAAGGAGTTTAGACCGTAAGAGAGAGCCATTATAGAGAGATTCAATGGATCTGTTTCCATTGGAGTCCTTCACTTTGGCTATCAGAAATACTGTTACTGGTATGAGCGATCTAGGAGAAGATATTTTAAGCATTATATAGTCACATATAGAACGTTTAAGCATTAAAGTCGGCTATTACTGATTATCTGTATTCACACTTGCACATTATTGTACTTTCACGGTTATTTTCATGGTCCGCTTCGCAAAGGACAGCTATTTCACACCTGATCTTGGCTGATAGCTTGGGGGTGAGAGTCCCAGAGTTCTTGTTTTGAATGGTTATCTGTCTGATATAAGAGAGGTATTTATTTTAGCATACTTTTTGTAAATTCAGTCTCAAGTTTTTAGTTTTTAACCCATTACATTTGCAAATTAATGAATTTTGGCCATTTATAAGCATTGATAAGCAGGTTAATAACTGACACCCATTCTTGGTTAAACTCCTTTGTCATGTGTCATGGCCCCAGAGAGTGATCTCTTCTCTTTATATCCTGCTCTGATCCCCCAGTTGAGAAGAGCCAAACTGGGTCACTCATTTAGGTAGGAAAAACACCTCCCTATTGGCTGGCCACATGCTAATGAGCTCATTTCGGAGGTGATTGACTCCTTAATTGAAATCAGAGTGCTTTGTGACCCCCAGAGTCGTGCTATAATTAGATATGTTCTCTGACTCCTTGATCCCATGCGGAAATAACTCTCTGAATATGACCAAACAGGAAAGACCCCTTCAGTAGAGTTCTGCTAAGTGAAAGAGAAGGATAGCCATTTGTGTTTGAGTATTATTGCAGTTAAATGTGTCTTTTGTTGGCTTTTTTGGGTTCATACCACAAGTTGACATATTTGGCCAAGATAGCTTACACTTCCTTCTTCATAAACTTATTTTTAGGCTTTTTTAGTCGATCTATCTCAGTTTGTTCTCGACCTACTTCTCTTCGATATTGAGTGCAGCGCAAGCCCTGAGGTCTTCATATCACTTAATTCATAGTTTTCAGCTAATATGCCAACTTATTGCTAACTAGATTGCCTGAAAGCAAATATATGTCACCCAAGTGTCTATAAAATATATGCATTTTCATCTGGAATACGTATTTTTTTGCACATTTGCTCATCTGCACTCTCTAAAATGTTACCCTTTGGATGTTTAAAGTTCTCTTTTTAGAAAGTCAATTTGCTCTTTTTAAAGTGTACGAAAAACGAATTACGCCATTGCTACTTATCATGACACTCAGCAGGTTTTTGTTTGGCTTGAAAATGCGACACCATATTTTCTGCGCTGTAGGTGACTATATAAGGTAGATAGATAGATTGAAGAAAGAAAAGACCAATCACAATTCAGTGTGTAAATGAGTGTTTACTCAAAAATGACCAAAGAGTTTCTATATTTTTCCTATTTAAAACTTGACTCTCTTCGCAACTTTTCATTTTCCGTCGGTCTTAGTACACGATGTAACTACAGAAGAGTCAAGTTTTAAATAGGAAAAATATAGAAACTCTTTGGTCATTTTTGAGCGAGATGCTAACGGTCTAATCAGATTCAATGATCTATGCTAAGCTAAGCTAAAAGTGCTACCGCTAGACCCGGAGATCGGCTGAATGGATTCGAAAACGGTAAAACTCAACTGTTTAACTCTAGGGGAGTTGGAAAATGAGCCTATTTTCAAAAATAGTGGAGTGTTCCTTTAAGTTTTGGAACAACATGAGGTTAGTTAGAAATTATGACAGAATTTTCATTTTTAGGTGAACCAACATCGCTAGCACAACAAAGACTGAAATGATCTACAACGGGAATGTAGCCTGTGAGTTTAGTGGTTTGAGATGAATCAATTGCAGAAGACTGTGGAAAAAGACAATAAAAAGAATATGACTTTCAAAAGAGTGCTACCTTGCAGGGTACGGTGGCAATGCTAATGCTACTGAGAGCTTTTCTCAGCGCTAGGCTAATTAGCACATATATTACATTGGGAAAACAAGGGGAAGGAAATTGCTTTGTCACATTTCCACATAGCAGAGTGTGTTTGTGGCACATTCTCACACATTTCCAAGTCTTGTTTAATTTCCAGTGTGGTTTAACCATGTAATAAAAAGACGAGAAGAAAAGAAAAGAAAACGTAACCCAATATGAGGAAGAAAGGTGTTATTTTGTTGTTAGTTTTTGATATTAGTCCGGCATCCTGCAATTTTTTGGTTCTAACAGGATTTTTCTAGTATTGTCGGGTTGTGTCACATTTCTGAGTGTTAATTTGTACCGTACTCTTTCATAAGGAATATCAAACAAAATTCCATTCGCTTAAAATGGTCTAATTTTAACTTTATCGTGGTGTGGCTCAAGAAGCCAATTATTAGACTGAGTTACTTTCCTGCACTATATAACAAAGTTAGCCCACACAAATGACCCAAAAGCCATTTTTAGGGCTTCACAGCAGCAGTGGTACTGAAATAGTTTCTTCATCTGATGTTACTGAGCCTGCGCTCAGATACTTGCTCTGTACTGTTGAGTTTGTGGAGATTTTCACATCGAGTTTTGGAAGCTGCCTACGAGCGTGCACGGACATACACACATGCGTGCTCACACTTAAAGCAACTGCCAAGATGTAATTAGCTGGTAACATCTAACACGTCTCACCTACACACTCCTACTCATGCAAACAAACCAAGCGACCCACAGCTCAGCAGATTTACAGCATTATCTAAACATACAGAGATGGCGGAGTGAGAACAGATGCCCACTCATGCCCATCACACACACACACACACACACACACACACACACACACACACGTGTGTTAGCGTACAGTTACACACTTTGAAACACCAGTATACCCTACAGCGTTCTGTGGCCATAGTGGATTGCAGCAGCGTGCATATCTGAGCATACAGATATGCATACAGCATACAGTATATATTACATATATAAAATAATAAAATGAAAATATTGTTAAAAAATATTATGTATATAATTAATATTATAGAACCTTTTTGATTTCTAAATAAAGTCCCAAAATGTACATAACTTTTGTATTTTTAAAATATATTATTTTGTTATTATTTTTTTCAGTTTCTCATTAGATTCTAAATTAGATTCTAAGACTAAATTATCAGAGCTGTGCTGTCATTTTATAGCTCTTACTGTATGCCTCTTGTGTGTCTATTTCTCCAAAGAAATAAAAAAAAAAACATCTAAAACAAAGTACTTGTTACTGGTACTTGAACAAATCGTAATTGAGAGCTCCATTCCATCTCTTGAGGAATGAAGGAGCTTTTCTGCATTAATTGTCCTTGGTCTCTTTTGATTTAACTAAGCTTGAAGGATTGACATGGACATATGACATTGGAGGACACACCTCTGTATCACACATCACTTCTCTTCGTCACATACTGTATATCTAACATCATGCTCTCCTCTTCTGTAACTCGGTTCCACGTATTCTTGTGCATCACTTTCTTTTTGTTTTCTTTTTCATAATTATGATGTCTAAACGCATGTCTAAACACTTTAACAGCCTTTTTTTTCACAGAATTTGTTTTTTATCATGTTGGGGGCCTTATATATATAGATATACATACACTAACCCCCCAAACACACACACACACGTATATGTTAATCTTTGAAATACCTAGAAGTATCAGAGATTTTCTGAGATTTTTGTATAATCTCAAAAAGCATGGTATTTGGACATGTTTGTTAAACATGGTGTTCTTCAAAGAATACAGTGTTATACCATGGTATTATCACTGTACTTATCCAAACCCATTTAGGTCATGGTAAATGTCTAAGAATACGAAGATACGTGTTCAAAATCGTTGCTTCATAGAATATGTAGTATGGTACAAAAAAGTTGTATTTTTTAAATTAAATGTTCTAAAATTATTTATCAATCACATATGTACAAAAAAACATTGTATTACTACTATCTGTTACAAAGTCCAGTTATTGGACAAATTTTGAAATAGCATGCTTAGAATACCATGGTGTTCATTGAAGTGACCATGGTACAAAACTAAAAACTATGACTACAAAATTGTAAAAATACCTGAAATACCTAGTATTTCCATAGTGCTATTTTGCAAGTGTCAAAAAAGAAAAGTACAATTAAAACATTTATCTCTTTACTTCTCAGTTCTTGTGAATAGCATCTTCACTCCTGAATCTCTCTTATTGCCACTTTGTCTAGTAGTTTCTTTTTTTCTTGCTAGCATCCTCTCGTCTTATTTTATCCAACACTCTCATCCTTTCCTTTCATTCACTCTCTTCAAGAAGTTCTTAAAGAACGAGGATCTCTTACCTGCAGCTTGGTTTCACTCAGGACGTGTTTTGCTCTCTTTCTCTCCGTTGGTGTGTGTGTTTCCTGCTTGCGTGTCCTTGCTGTGTGTGTGTGTGTGTTAGGCGGTGTTTGACTTCAG